ACAGTGCCACAACATAATCAAACTTCCAGAGCATTGCATTTGGGGGAAACTGAGATGGCGGCTGCAATTGTGACCACTAGGACCCAGTGGACAGCACCCTGCTGAGAACACCCATAATTAGAGTTCTGAGTAATAACACCAAGTTGCAAAAAGCTAACGTACTAGCAGCATCGCAGCTGGAAAAGGATTGCTAACATTTTAGAGCAAGGCATTTCCCCTCATTCTGTTATCATTAGTTACTATCCAGAATGTGTCTTCTATGTTCTAGTGGATTTTTTTAAAATTCCCAGAGGAAATAGCTGAATCTGTTACTGAATGTAGGAATGCTAGGAACAAGATTAAAATTAGAACTTATTCCCCAGGGACATAGGTTTCTTTGGATACAAAGTTAAAAAAAAGAAGCAGTAGCATTCAGTGGAGAGCTTTCTCTTCAGGAGAGGGTTCTCTTAAAAAACCCCCAAAGCTTTAAAAAGGTAAAAGTTTCCCACAGTTAAATGTACAGTGTTTTTTTTTTTTTGTTTCAGCATGGCCAAGAACACTTATTTCAATTGTAGCTAGCTTTCTAGCTTTCCTGCAAAAGTATGTTTTCTTGATTGATTCATATGGGCTGAATTTTGACGGTCTGCACACAAAATTAGCTTTTTAATGTTTATTTTTGGTAGATTCTGCAAGCAAAAGGAGCATAAGAACAACAGAAACAGTTGCTAGAATAGAAGCCTATCATAATTCCTAGGACTGCAGTTCGTAGCTTCAGTGTAAGGTAGAATCCTATGCACTTAAGCCCGTTTAAAGTTACGACTGCAAAGTAAGGTGTGCACAGGGGAACAAAAGAAGCTATTGGTTTAGATATAAATCATTATACATACATTTATGCATAGATACATATTTAGAAATAGATATTGTAATTTAAACAGAAATACGTCTCCCCATATGGGGAAGAGGTTGACCTGCCTGCCTATTAATCCTCCTGGCCAGGAGCTGTTGATAGGCAAGCCGTTTGCTTTTCCTTCTTTTTTCCTTTCAACTTGGCTTGGAATAGACAGCTTTTTCAACAGAAGACTATCTCTAAAGTAGGCTGCATGATCATCCTACTGCAATAGGTTAACTGATGGGCAGAATGATCCTATGGCCCCCAAGCAGCTTCTAGAGGGCCACAGGATTTTTAAGGCTCTCACTTCCAGCCACCGAAAACAGCTCTGCCTTTGATGCCTCTCGTCAACCCTCACCATCAGGGTGGGAAGCACCATGTTAGCTGCTTCTCTGAGGTTTAAGAGCTACAGCTGACCAGTGGGAAGGGTCATGGGTAGCTTCCCTGCTGCTTATCGGTGGCATGCCAGAGATGAGCTGCACATGGCCTCACACTGAGCTTTTGAACCCAGTGCAAGGTGGTTCTTTTCTTCTTGCCACCCCCTCTCCTAATTCCCTGTCCAGGTCTCCTGCTGATGACTGGACAGTGGCCACTAGCAGGACAATGGGTGGGGGCAGCAGCCAAAATTGCCGACCTACACTCTTTGGGGAAGTTTTAGAAACATAGAAACATACAAACAGAACGAGTCAGAAGGGGTCTCCCTGGCCATCTAGTCTGACCCCCAGCTCCAGCCGGCTCCGCTCACAACATGTTCACCATGTGCATGTCCAGCCTATCTTTGAACACCCTCACTGATGGGGCCTCAACGACTTCTCATGGAAGCCCATTCCACACCCTGGGGGTCCTAATTGTTAGGAAGTGCTTCCTGGCATCTAAATGGAAGCTTGGTTCCCTGAGCTTTGCTCCGTTGGAGTGCGTCCTGCCTTCCTCTGCAGGGGAGAACAGGTCTCTACCCATCTCCATGTGACATCCCCTCACATACCTGTATGTAGCCAACATATCCTCTCTGAGTCTCCTCCAGGCTGAAGAGACCCAGTTCCCTCAGTCTCACCTCATACGGCATCCCCTGCAAACCGGCCACCAACCTTGTGGCCCTATGCTGCACTGACTCTAACCTGGCTTTATCCTTTCTGTAATGAGGAGCCCAAATCTGAGCACAATACTCCAGTTAATACTCCAGTTTTGTCTTCGGTGGGAAATCAAGACCCATTAGCCTTATGAAAGACTGGCTCCTGGTGGGGATGAAACCTCCTAGAACAGCTTTGCTGACACAGATCAATAAAACTGCTTGTATTTCTCTTGGGGTTCATTATTTTCTCTGCTATCCCCCACTCTGCAGTGAGGGAGAACTATACCTCTATAGTCTCAGTGGTATATAATACCAGGGAACACAAGAAGAGTGGTTGCTTTGTTTTCAAGCAGGTTTTCTGTATTCTGTGAATGTAGGGATGGTTTGGGACAACTGGAGCCAAAGCAGGATGTAGCCCCTGCTGTTCAGAATGGGGAAATATGGACCTTGCAGGGGTGAACAAAGCTGTAGAGGCTGAAATTCCTTCTTCTTCACAAGCTGCATGGTTCTCCCTCCATTGGCATTTGGACAGTCTGATTTAGAAATGTCTCTCATGGCACCTCAACTAATAGACACCCAGTCCACAGGTCCTTGGGCAACAATAGGCTGCATATCTATGAAAGGATGTTTGCCTGTGATTTGAGCCTAAACCCAAATCCTCGCTGCCCCTTACATTTAATTTTAACAAAATTTTCTTAAAACAAGTTCAGAATGTTGCCTTTAAAAGGCCTGCAAACCAGGTGTTCCCCCCAACTTTTAGGCTGGCTGCCAATATTTGATGCAGGGGTTGGAGAGAAAAAGAAGATAAAGTAAGGCTGAAAGTAGGTGTGGAGTTCTCAACAGTATGAACTTCAAGACTCTTGAAGGATTGAAGAGAAAAATGCTTCTGCATCTCTGGTTGTTTTCCAGTTTGTACACTGAGATAGAAAACTAATCTGTATTTCTTAAAATTGGAATTGATTACATTGCAAAACATAAAATGAATGATCATTCTCCCATCTAAGCAATATCAAGAGAGCATCCATTTGAGAGGAACAGACTTTATTTCCCACTCAGTCTAGATTTATGCCTGTGCCAGACAGATTTATGCTCATGCTGAACTTTACAATTATTTTGACTTAAATTTTTTTCTGAATCCTTGCATTCAACACATCAATGAGACATGGTGTGGAAAAAAAGAAAAGTGTAGAAAACTAAGATTTTTTCCATTTGCGTCACTAGAGGACGTGAACTTAGGGAGTAGCAGGAATTTTTAAAAAACAGATAAAATGTTTTGGTTTTCAGAGGAGAGCACTAGCATGCTTTTCTTTTTAAACTGCAAAACTGTACACATATCACTGAAGACACTATGGACTAGAGAAGAAGAAAGGAAACGGGCTGGAGTCCATCAAAATGATATCCCTGTGCTTTGAAGTGATGTTGGTTATGCAGTTTTGTTCCAGGCTGGCTCTTAAAGAGTATCTTCTTGAAGAATCTTGCCTTCTGCCTCCCTTACCACCCCTAATATAAGTTAATATGTTATCTCAAGGGTGAATGAAAAACAGGACTAGACCAAACCATTAAAAATGCAGGGCAGGGCAGGGCGACTGATATTAGCATAGATTCTTCCCCCTTCTTCCATTCTTTTTGTGCTCTGTATTAATAGCTCATAAATAAAACACATCACAGACAGTTTCAGTTAAAAAAGAGAGAGACTCCAGTAGTTGCAAAGATTCTGGGCTTTGTACAGCTTGGTAGCCTGTTTTGGATAGCCAAATACCATGATGCTGTGGTTTCTTCCTGATGATATTTATTTTAATTTAGCTGTTCCAAATTCTGGGGAAGAGAGTGAAGGAACTGCCTGAGTTACCCAGAGTGTGTTCCATGAAGTAATAAAATAGAACTATTTTGCTTCAGCATGGAATTTTATCATTGCACAATTTATAGGCCTGATGAATTCCCTGAATCTGTGCAGGGATCATAATTGATAGCCTGAATATGTAGTGCAAGAAAATGTACCTAAAAATAAATACATTCTTCCTGCATTGGTTTATTTGGTTAGACAGTAAAGCTATCTGGCCAAAGCTCAAGAAATCCTTTAGTCTGAGTTGAAACAAAGGGTGGGCTTGAGTGCTGTGTGATTAGATACATGAGCACGCAAAACATAGGGAAATATTAGCAAGGCCTGGACCGCACATATAGGAGTTGTAAGCTATTCTGTGATTATGCGTTGCTGCTTTTCTTCAGAGGTCATACCAGTCAGTCAGTCCTAGAGGAGATCAAGCCTGACTGCTCTTTAGAAGGCCAGATCCTGAAGACGAAACTCAAATATTTTGGCCACCTAATGAGAAGGAAGGGCTCACTGAAGAAGAGTCTGATGCTAGAAATGATTGAGGGCAAAAGGAGAAGGGGATGGCAAAGGACGAGGTGGCTAGATGGAGTCACTGGAGCAGTGGGTGTGGGCTTGGGTGGACTCTGAGGGATAGTGGAGGACAGGACAGCCTGGAGAATGTTGTCCATGGGGTTGTAATGCGTCAGGCATGACTTTGCGACTAACAACAACAACATTTCTTCACATGGAGAATTTAGTGGCCCGAAGGCCTGGAGTCTGTCCATTAAAAATAAAGCTCATGCAGCATGTTACAAACGCACAATGTTCCAGTGACAGATCTAGCAGGATCGTCCCAACGTATTTTGCTTCCTAAGACAAAGGACAAGATGGTGCTTCTCCCCAACTCATGCACAGAGTGTTGAATTTTTCTTCAACGCTAGAGATGAGACGGTGTCCTCCACTACACCTGGGGACAACGGATTCACTCAGAGAGTACCAGGCAGGCTGCAGCCCTTCTTGCATCACCTTTATCACTGTTCTCTAACTCTCAGCGTCTGCCGAGGTGGTTGTCTCACTCAGCTTAATGTCTAAGGCCAGCTCTGGGACTGTTTTGCTTAAAGGGTTTAGGTGCATATTCAAAAAGATGCACTGATTATTCACAAGTTCCTTTCGGCTAGAACTTTATCGGACCCCCAGAAAGACCACTGAACTTCAGATAACACATGCCCAGTAAGAAACAGGATCATTCTTACCAACAATCATGTGATTGCAAATGTCACAGAAGGTAGGTTTTTTGAAGATATGCTCCTGGAAAATGTGAGTCTTGTTGCCTTCCTGTGGGTGATGAACTTTGGTTGGAGTGGACGTCTGACTTTGAAGGTTTGGGAGCTGCCCCGTTCTGGGGCTGATTTCCGATAGCAAATCTACTTGTAGTTTCATGTCACTGTTTGTCCGTTGGAAGAAGTTGTCTGCGCTTTTACTCCGCAAACTTTTGGTTTTGAAAGAAAGTGATCGCTTCAGTTTCTGGAGCTGCAATACAACAAAGAAATGGTTACCTGTAGTATGTGTGACTTGCTTAGAAAGCTCTAGGGCCAATTTAGCATAATATAAGTTAAACGAACAAATTAATCCTGGCTGACAACGACAGAAAACAAGGAGTGCAATTCCAAATTCTAGGACTTTATATCAGCCCACACTCATCTGGAAGTTTCTCCTAAGCACTGCCTCACCCTGGGTCAGCTGCATGCAACCCTTGGCCATCTGGCTCCATCTGGCTGACTGAGATCTTTCCTCCAAATTGCAGGCTTTCAGGTGAGTTGGGACAGAGTCAGTGCAGACTGCTGGACAGGTCTTGATTGCCCAAATGAGGCCTTAATGTCTCCTGCTCCAACTCATAATCATTCCAGTGTAGGGCAGACCTAAAGGCAAAGGGGGCAGAGGCCAAATGCTGGCTTATTTTAGCTTAAAGCTCTTACTTCTAGTAACAAAGGTTTATGAGAGCTATTTTCAAATGGGAAAAAATTGCACAAAATCAGAGCAAGCAGAAACAATTTTCTTTGACCCTGAAGCTGTGTTTTATTTGCTGCATTTTATTGTAACTGTGATTATTTTAATTTGTTAATTGTTTTTAACTGGTGTCACCCAGATAACCTCCCCCCCCCCCACTTTCTTTACTACATTTTATACCACCTAATAGCCAAACCTTCTGGGTAGTTCACAACAAATAGTATGAAAAGCCCAGCTGTGGGCTAGGATAGTGGCATACACATTGAAATAATAAATAAATAAAATATAATTAGGACATTTCCTGATTCAGATATACTACTAAAGTATAATGAATAAGCTTGGGTCTATCTTGCTCCCGCAACCCACCATCCTCCTTAGGAAGCATTTGCTTCTTGGATTAAACAATTTTCACATAATGGCAACTCAGAGTTGTCCTTGAATCATGGGTTGTCACTTGTTGACCATTTACTATGGTTTAACCATGGATTGTTAGCTATGGGTGACCCAGAGTTTGTAGCACAGCAACAGACCATGGGTTTTCTTCCTGGATCGTTAACAACCCATAGTTAAATCAAAATGCATGTAATGACAACCCACAGCTTAACGGCAGACCATTATTCAACAATCATGCATACTGAGCACATACTCTGGGTTGTCATTACATGTGAACTAGACCTTCAATCAGTTTACTGAAACAAATCTGAATCAACAACTGCTTTGACCTAGGCTTGTTTCAATAAATTGTTTAAACTAGCCACATTTTATCTTCATCAGATGCAACAACAAACTGTAGTCAGTTTAATCCTGGAAGTGGATGCTTTTGATCTCCTCTTTGATTTTTAATTTAATTTAAACATTTCTACCCCGTCCTTTGAGCAAGCCTCAGGACGGCTTGCAACTATGCTAAAAGTGAGGAGAAGAAGTAGTACACGGGCTTAGCATTTGCTCAGGGTCGTTCACAAAGTGTTAAATTCTAGTTTAGGCCAGAAGTTCTCAACCTTTGTTCTCCTGTATTATTGAGCTACAGCACCCACCCTCTTTAACCATCAGCCATGCTGACTGGAAATGTTGGGAACTATAGTCCAGCAACATCTGGGACCCAAAGGTTAGCAATGTAAATAATCCGGGCCAAAATTACAGGCACTGAGAAAAGGAATTTAGATTCCTTTTGAATCTAACAGAGGGGGTATTTCAGTAGCGCACAGCATCCTTTACATGTATTATAAAGATTTGCTCAGTGGTACCTCCAGTTGAAAGATAACAAGGAGTGAGGACACTGCCCCTTAAAAGGTTGGAGAACCTCAGGCAGTCAGTAAACTGGCCTAGATGGCCATTCATTAATCAAATTCAGTGTCTATGGAAAGCTGCCACGGCATGGGGACGAAACCGAGCTACTGGTAAAAATGACAGTGGCCTCTACAGTCATGTTACACACACAGATCCTGTAGATGTACTGGGGACGAAGAACAGAACATGGGCTATATGTATAGTTTTGTGGGCAACAAGCTAAATATGAGCCAACAAGGCAATGCAGCTGCAAAAGGGGCAAATACTATTTTGGGATTCAGTAACAGAAGTATTACTTCCAAATCATGAGAAGTTGTAGATTTCCTATACTCCTCACTAGCCAGAGCTCCACTGGAATATTGTGTCCAGTTCTGGGTACCAAGATTTAAGAAAGATGCAGAAAAATTAGAAAAGGTCCAGAGGAAGGCAATGAAAATGATTCAGGATTTGGAAACTCTGCCCTGTAAGGAGAGACTGTGAGAACCAGGCTTGTTCAGCGTTAAGCAGAGAAGACTGAGTGGGGTCATGATATCATTCTATAAATACCCCAAAAGCTGTCACAAAGAAAAAGGTCAAGATCTCAGTAATACCAGAGTGTAGGATATGGAACAATCAGTTCAAGTTGTGACAATCCAGATTCAGCTAGATATCAGGAAAAGGTTCCTCACTGTCAAAGCAATATGACAGTGAAACCTGCCTAGAGAGGTGGTGGCTCTTCCAGCCTAGAGACATTCAAGGTGAAACTGGACAGCCATCTGAGTGGGATGATGTAAACTGATGTCCTGCAACAGCAGGGGTTCATGGCCCCTTCCAGCTCTATTATTCTATGATTAACACCAAACTTTAAAAAAAAAGAAAAAAGAAAATGCAAGTTTTTCTTTTTTTAGTCCTCATTCACTTGCAGATTGCAACAGTGGCTTGGCAGATTAATGATGGTGCCTCAGGCTGTTTATAATACTTTGAGTCAGCACTAATAACCTCACAACAACCTTCTAGAGACCTTACACAACACCTTCCATCTTTCCCATTTTACTTAGGACACTTTGTTGTTTTCATTTTCCAACGCCTGCATACTGGTGTCACACAAATATGCATTTTGTATGTTCTTATGCTAATATTTTGGGAGCACAACCCATTTGCGTATGCTCTTTCCCAAGCACCCTTTAAATCAGTAGGGGACAGACTGAGGCCTGTGGAATCTTTTTTTTTTTTAAACTAGAATGTTTTAATCTACTAACTGGTAAATGGTGAAAAACCACACACACTTTTTAAAAATAATTATCTAATTCTAATTCTGATCCAAGGAACTGATTTAGCAAACTAGAACTCTTTAGACAATATTCCTTCCACACACAAAAAATAAAAACAAAAAACGCACTATTGATTACACACCATCCCCCCCTCCCCACACACCAAGTATTTGTTATTTCAGCAATATGATTTAGGGTGAGAAAGAGCTGTTTTGTTGCTGCCATCGGTAAGTAATTGGGAGCCAAGAGATATCTGCTAATTTACTGCCAAATCATACACATCCTGTTTACCTTCTGCCCATCCCTGGTTTAAATGAAGGGAGCTACTGCACAATAACATGAATACAGTGCAGAGCCAGGCTCTCCCACATCAGGAAACAGTGTGTGTATTTTCAAAGAACACAAATCATATAATCCATTGGGAAGTTCTGGGTGAAAGTCTCAATGAATGTGAGTTGGATGCTCTTATACAGTTTCTATTCATTTCAACAGCATGGTTTTATAGTCAGAAGTGGCCTGTTACATGCTTAAAAATACAGCATGCAGCATTTTCCAGGGTGGGAGAGGCCATACAGATCTGTGCTCCTGGGTAGCAAAATGGGCCATAACAATGGCCACCTTTCCAACTACAGATGTTCATGGCCTTGGAAGAGGCATAACGGTTGTTTCTTTTATCAGATATCTAGTTTGTTCCCCTTCTAAATACACAAGTGGCAAAACAACAGTTGTGTATGGAGCTTGAGCTTGCTCCTCTGGAGTAACAGAACAAAAGGCACCCCACCCAGGTTACCAGGTCACCGCCTTAAATGCTCTGGTGAAAATTGCTGTTTTCATTTTTAAACTATTAATATTTTAAAAATGGCATCTTGTAAATTGACGTGTCCACATCCTATGCAAAGAGGCACTGCCACCCCATTCGTAGGAGTAGCAGAAATCGGAAACGGTTAAATTGACTAGGAACAAAAGAGCTGCTGATTTGCTGATTTATTGCAGCAGCTGAAATGGAATTTGGGGGGTTTTGGGTGAAGAGAATGACAGGGCAAGGCAATAAACAGTATCCTCCGTCTCCCTGGCTCACCTGCTCAGAGCAATTTGTAGTCTGGAAGATCTTTCAGCGCATGCCTCCATTGGGAGTGCAGAGCTCAGTAACAAATCACCTGCCTACCACTGAAATTGTTGTGCAGAAATCAAGACTCATTATCGCCCCTGCCCCCCCCCCAAAAAAAACAAACCAAAAACCAGAATTGCAGTTCCACAAGGTGACTGTAATGACATTCCTTATTGATTGGCCGTCCATTTCCACCATGCCACATGAGGTTAATTAAATAGTAAACAGTATTCTTCTTAGTCACTGGAATTAGACTAAGCAGCACAACTAAGTATGTTTTTTCTAAACAACAGGCCTCTTGCTGGCTCAGCAATAGGCACCAAGAAGCTAATTTAATAGTACAAACTCAGTTTCAGACATAACACGATTTGGTAATAATTTCGCAGAAGCCATTTGCCCAATTATGTGAAGGGACAGGGTTTTTTTTACTATGCATGAAACTATAGAGGCCCGAGACTATAGATTAAAATCAGGAATAACTTCCACTGGAAGCAAACTGTCTCATTATTTTTAGATAATCATGTCAGTCAGAGAAAATGTTGCCGAAGTCAGGAGAGAACGCACAAGTTCCTTATGCTTCCTTCTTCTGTATTTTTATCTTGTGAGAAACTGAAAAATTGCATCTCCTCCACCCTTGAGGTGAAACAGATGTCCATGTGGGAAGAGTTCCTGGGTGCAGGGTGGCCATGTAGCCTATTTTACAGAGGACAGTCAGAGGACAGTCCTCTGTTGGAAGGCCTCCCATATTTTATATTGTATCCAGTCGAAGAGGAGAAAAGAGGATAAAAAGGAAGAACTGGAGCCCAGGCACAATTAACATCTGACTAACATCTCCAGGTTTGCGGCACACAAGTAAGTTATGTTTCTTTTTTCTTCTA